TAAGGTGTTCGCCGAACTTGCAGTCCATGTCAAACAGCTGGTTGCGCTGCGATTCAGCAAGTTTGGCAGTCTTTACTTTGCTGACGTTTCCGACCAAGTGCTTCCTTGCAGTGCCTCGTCCCCCGTCAAAAACGGTAACGACACGGAGGTTGTGGATAAAGACATCGGCCCTGGCGGCCGTTTTGTTCTTGGCCGCATCGTCGCCCAAGACTTCTTCTTCGACAAGCGAGTGTACTACCCTGGCTCCCGTGGGCCATTCGAAACAACACGAGAATTGGTTGACATGCGGTTGGAGCTCCTCGAAAAGCGGCTCCGGGAGCTATCTCCTGTTGAAGGGGCGGCCTGGTACTGCGAGAATGACCGAGAATTGGACAGAAACAAGGACCGTGTGTACGAGCTTTTTGAGCAGCTCAAGGCCTTGGTACCGCGCCTCGTCCCGCACGATAACGGCCCCGAAGATGTTGGCGTCCTTTGGCATGACGACCTTTCAGAGCACAATCTCCTCCTCGACCCTATTACGTTCAAGCTCACTGCCGTTGTCGACTGGGAGTCTGTGAGCGTCATACCCGCGTACGAAACATACGATGCGAGACCGGCGTGGCTCTCCGACAGAGACTGGAGGCCAACACCCCTAGTTCAGCTTGCTCGAGGCATCCCGCCCAATGATGAGTTCATCACGGCAGATAAGTTGCGGCGTGTGGGAGAGATGGGCCCAGCCCGAGAGGCATACCACCGGATTGTCGGCCTTCTTTATGACACCACCTCGCCAGAGACCCAACAGAGAGTCAAGAACAAACAAGGAATTGCGAAACAGCTGGAGATTGCAACATTTCAGCATAGGCCGTGGTGGACCGCGACTTGGATGGCTGAGAATGGTTTTTTCTGCAACGGCCAGGCGGTCGACGCCGTCGACAAACCCGCCGACCCCATTCTCCAGAATGAGGTTATCAGCGACACGCAGGCCTAACATGAAGCAGTGGCACCTACAGCACCGATTTTGGAACGCCAGAGTTCTGAGCAACGCGCATTTGGAGATTTTTGGAATGGTGCCCTGGATGGTGCCGTGGGTGGTGCAACCCGGTGCCTGTGCTGCTGCCAGCCACGAGACGGGCCAATTGATATCCGAGTTAACAAGCCAATATGGCGAGAGCTTCCTGCATTTGTCCCAATACACGTTGCATTTTTGCCATTCAATCTTGCCTCAAGCTTTTTTCCTTGGCCTCTGTTTGTTACATCGGGGACGACTGCAGCCACATTGGAGCTCTCTTGCACTCCCAGCTCTTGGCAATTTGTATTACAACGAGCTCACCATGAATTAGCAAACATCTTACATTTGAAATCTTTGCCAGCACATTATGATGAGCTACTTGATCTTGGTTCCTGGTGTTGGTTCATCAATAGGCTTGATCTTAGTGCTGTCCGAAGTAAATTTGGAGTGGCGCTTGCAAATGCTGGGTGGGTTTATACCCAGTCTTCAAGTGACAGACAGTTCAGTTCACAGAAGCAACCGCAATGAGAACCAAGCAGATGGCCGGCACAAATTATTAAATTACCGAGAATGTACTACCTGTACCTATCTTCGTAAACGAGCGTGGCTAGTTGAACCCCCCAGGCCTGAGAGACAAAACCAGAGTGAGAGAGAACGGAAAAAAAAAGGAAAAATCCCGAGAATTATCTCCATCGACGCCCCGCCGTACCTAGGGAGGAGGCGCTGCGCCCAGCGTGAAAAGACTACCCAAAGGAGAGGGAGAGAGAGAGAGAGAGAGAGAGAGAGAGAAAACAAGGTTGTTGCCCCTCCGGGCTATGTACACCCTTGCCTTGGCCTTTTTCGAGTTGGTTGGTTCCCCGGTCTTTTCCTTCCTGACAAGCCCCCGCGTTCGTTCGGGGACGGGACGGCGCGCGCCGGAAGCGGTGTGTAGGCTGGACTTTTGTTGTTGCTGATCGGTGTCCATCAAGGCGCGCGCCATCCCGCCGTTGTTTTCTTTTTTTTTTGTTCTTTTCCCTGGGCGTTGTTGAGAACCTCGGTGGTCGGGTTGGTGTGGTCCGGGGAGTGTTGGGTGCACGGGGAGCGGGGGAAGCCGCTTAGAGGACCTTGACGCAGTTGAGGGCGTCGACGTTGACGAGACCGCCCTGTGGAAGGAGGGTGTGTGTGTTAGTTCCAGTGACGGATATAAGGGGCAGGGGTGTGGCTTACCTGCACGGCGTTGGTCTCGCAGCAGTAGGAGGAACCATCGCAGTTCTTGCCGACAACGGTGACCAGGCAGGAGGCGAGGCCATTGCAGCAGACGTTGGCCGACTGGCTGGAGCAGGAGGTGATGCCGCCGAGGCGGGGAGCGACCTCGGAGGGGAGGGCGGAGGCGGTCATGGCAACGGCCAGAATGGTGAAGAGGCTGGTGAACTGCATTTTGATGGTTGTGTGGGTGGTGCTTTGGAGAAAGCGGGTGTTGTTGTTCTGTTTATTTGAAGGGGTTGAGTGTGGAAAGGTTGAGTTGAAGCTGTTGCTGATGAGAAAAGAGTTTGGTGCCGATGAAGGGGAGGAAGGGCTTGTTATATACACATTTCCGTCAAGTCAAGGCTTTCTTCGGGCCCGCTACTGTTGACCTTTGGGATCTGCTTCAGCCTGTCTGAGTTAGGACGGCTCTTCACGATCCTTTGGTTGGTGTTGCTAGCCATCACCCCCCATCGGCATGCCTATTTCCCCTTTTGGACTTACGGACAATACGTGTGACACAAGTATGCTCTCAGACCTACAGGCTCAGATTAGGTCCGAGACCATGCCCGGCGGAGCTTGATCCGACAGCCATCGTGGTCGCAGGGACCCGTGTTGCTGGGTTCCAGGTCTTCAGAGTGGCCGGGCATCCATGTAGCGTTTTCGCTGTTTCGGGCCGCTTGTGAAACTACAGATGAGCAAGGGGTGGCAAAACTGCAACTGGCCATGTTGATCATGAAAAGCTAAACACGCGTTTCTGTCACAAGTAACCGCAATAGTTCCGACTTGACCTGTTTTGAAGATCTTGTACAATCTGCTGATTTTCGCCGGTAATCTACAACTGCGAGCTCGCACAGATAGAGATACCTTACCTGATTCTGGCGTGTCGTGTTGTCCAATCTGGACGGGATCTGGATGGTGGTTGGAAGCTGCGCTGGTAACATGAAGTTGCGCCTGCCAGCTTCAAAGTCTCAGCCACAACTCGCCGCCGCCGGGCTTTCAGCGGCTAGAACAGGCCGCGGATTCAACTCTCGTGGCCTTCCCAACCAACTATGTAAGTCAGAAAGTAATCTCGGACAACCTGAGACCAGTTGAGTATCTCCGACGTGTTGCAACTGAGCCAATTTGTTGACAGGAAAGTGCGACCTTCTCACACCTTCGGGGGCCCGCAGCAAATTTGATCGGGTCGTCTCCAACCCGGTCACAAATCGACAATAAACAAGACGGGACCTCGCATCTTGCAGGAGCTAGGGCGCCTCCTATTTCACTCATGCACCAATCGCAGCGGTAACAGGTCGGCCCGCGGTTTGCCAAATTGGCCAGATTCCTTCGCCCGCTGCCATGCAGTGTGATTACGTGGGATCACTGCATCGGGTAATTCCTTGCTTGCTTTTCCATCGTTACAGCTACACGACAGGCCTGACTGCCAGAACTGGTAATGCTAGACCTGTCCCGTTTACAGACATGCGGGTATTACTGTCGGAACCACCTTGGCTGATGGTCGCAATCTTACCAACTCACACAATGTCACCGACGCAATGGATCCGTCTCAAGTTTGAGATTTCTGGACCTGGAGCTGAGGTCCTACCGGAGATCGAAGACTTGCATCTCTCTGGCTTTATCAACGGAGCTCCGAATCGAATTCGGACTCCTTCGGAGAGCCTTCCGCGCAAATTTGCTCTACCGAGCCGTAAAAAACGACTAATGAGTCTGTGAAAGTAGTCGCTGTCGATAGGCTCACAAATAGAGACCTTGGAACTCAGACAAGAAGGGATCCATTACAACATCCAAAGCATCTATGTTGTCATTTTTGATCTTTAGGCTTTAGCAAGTTTCGAACGTGACGAAACCAGACTGGCGGCAGGCCCCGGGCTCCGGAGTCCGGCCGACAACCCCGGCGCCTGGCCAATTTCGAATGCTCGAACGCCACTGTGGGCAGGACGACATTCCGCAGCACCCATAGCAGACAAGAAGGCGTGCATATTTGGCTTTCTCGTCCGGGGGGGGGGGGTCAGAATCTGCGCCGACGTGCCGATTCAAGTCATTTGATCCATATTGTTTATTCCCACCCACCCATTTACCTAACTCCAGCAACATGGTGTTTGTACGCTTACATCAACGATACGCCACAGCCCTCCGGCCACGGCTGTGCTGGCTGCCATGGTACAAGATTGTGCGACCTCTATCGGCGAACTCGGAGCTGCTGTTGGCGATCGGTGCCAGAAAGAGTCTCGCCACGTCACTGACTCAACCACATGGTCGCCGACAACCTGTCAAAGAGTGTCAAGGACGAGAGCGAAGCTAGTGTTTTGGTGTGTGTTTCATCATCGAAGCCTCAGAGATTATCGGGGGACAAGTTGGAAAGCCCGGACGAATGAAGGCAATCTTAGTATAGCTCCAACCTTTAGAACACACGCTCGTAAACAGGAGCATGTTCTTCGTCTTTAGGACGGTCTCAGTGCCACAGGCTCCCGCCTTTTAGGCCGTTGAGGAACTTCAAGAAGGCAGTCATGGAAGTCACCCCGGCACTGCGTTCGTACCTTCTTCTACCCAAGTCCTCCCCATTTTGAGGGATTCGAGCATCAGACTGACCCAGCTCATGACCTACCTGCACATGCGTCTGTGGGGTTTCCCAGGTTCCTATGCTACTGAGCAGCCCACCGGGGACGATGAAGTTATTCATGAGTGGAGTCGGATCAAATCGAACCTTACAAGTGGAGCATCTAACTTGCCATCGCTAAGCGGCCCACAGCTTGAAGAGATTTTCCACACCGCATAGCATTGAAGTCACGGTTCTATAGTGTAGCGGTCATCACTTCGGATTCTGATTCCCTCAGAATATTCCGGCAACCCCGGTTCGATTCCGGGTAGGACCTCACTTTTGCTGGCCGCAGTTCCGGCTGGCTTAATCTTTTGGCGCTTCAAGCGGCTTGTCTTGGCTTCTTCCCATTCTACTTTAGGTCTTGAGCAGTATGTTTGTTTCCCGAGTGTCGTAGAAGCAAGCGAGAACGGGGATCTCAGCTCGACGAACAGTGTGGGAAGAACCTGGGTCTGCTGCGAGTTGAATGGGTCTAACACAACACCGAATCAAGTTGCTTGGTTGCTTGAGTCAGGTTTAGGCCGGGCCGGGCCGCACGTTGTAGTTTACAGTCATCTCAGACACCGAGACAATGTCACCGGCACCGGATAGCTGGGCAGTTTGGCTGTCGCCTGGGTAGAGGCACACCATCTCCAACAACCCCTTACCCATGTCACTTTGCGATGTTTGCTGTGAGGTCTTCCGGACAAACAACTCCGTGTAGCCTGTCGGCGTGAAACCGAGTCTCTCAAACGCTCTCTTCCCGGCCGGTGTGGCAGTAAGCGCTGTGCGCGAATGTTAGCATGGCCTCACCATCTCTCTCGCCAGCAATGGATGTTCAACGCACCTGACATCCCCACCACTTTCCAGCCCCTCCGAGCCTGTGCCCTCCTCATCACCTCTTCCAAAGCAAACTCACAAAACCGCTTCTTCTCAGCCCCCCCACCTCCCACCTCAAACCTCTCAACATGATAAACATGCAACCCCACCTCCTCCTCCCCATCCCCAAACCCCTCCCCCACAAACGCCCTCCCCGGCTCAACATCCGCCTCCTTAACCCTCCCCCCCAACAAATCCTCCCAGCACCTCCTCCGCAACGGTAACACAACCACCACCCCCACCACAGGGGCCGCCAACCCCTCCACAGCAGCCGCGCCAACCGCCGGCGACGATCCCTGATCGCCATCGCCGTCGCCCGCGCGGAGGAAGCACACCGACAGGTCGGGACAGGCGTCGACCCACGCGCGCAGTCGTGTGTAGGGCAGCGCTACGGGGTACATGGCCTGGTCGGAGGCGTGCACGGCGCGGAGCACGGTGTCGGGGATCGGTGCTGCTGTTGGGGTGGTAGTGGTGGTTGGTGGTGGTGGTGGTGGTGGTGCTGGTGAGATTGGTGCTGGTGTGGCGTGCGGCGGTTTCATGGTGGTGGTGGGTGGTGGGTGATGCGGGTTGGTTGGGAGCGAAAGAACCGAGTGATTGTGCGGGTTGGAGGTTGGGACTTAGGGCGATCGGGTCACAGACAGGTGCGCGCTGGGGGGATGGTCGTTGGGGTTTCGAATATTATGGAGCGGTGTGTTGGTTTGATGGGTCTGTCTGGGTTGCTGCGTAGGTGGGGGTTTCCACTTGTGTAATCCGTAGTTTGTACATATACTACGATTTGGTCAACCAAAAAAATGCAGTTCTTCGGGGGTGGAGTTGCAAGTCCGAAAAGGGGCAAAAAGCTAACGCAAATGCGCATTGTCACAATTGCCCACAACCAGAATCGAACTAGTGACCTTGTCATAGAGAATTTACTAGTGACACGCTCTACCACTGAGCCATGCGGGCTTTCATTTGAATTTGAATAAAGAACCTGGAGACGGGTTAATAGCGTCGACTACACGGACTTTCATCAAAGCCCGACTGTGACGAACCTACTTCAGGATCCTATCCTGTTAGGGTTCAGCTTCGTTGAAGGTAATCTCTCGAGGATGCTTAGGTTCGGTGCAGCCAAAAGGTGCACAACAATAGACTTGTCTCAACAGTAGGCTGGCGAGCTTGTAGCGAACTGTAGTTGTGATTGCTAACTGGAGAACTCCCAGAGCTCTCCAGGACGAGTGACTATATACTGACTACATCTTGTGGCTCTCTGAGGCTCCCTCAGAGCGCCAGGGAGCCGGGCTCCCTGTGATGTCAATAGAGCAAGCCGTTCTATAACCTGATTGGTGTTTTCCTTCCGGGCTCCCTCAGGCTCTGAGAGAGCCTGACAGAGCCTATTCCTGGTTGGTTACCTAAGCGATTGGCTACGGGGCGACCCGCGCCCCTCAGTTGGTCTCAATTTGTGACACCGACAACGTCATTTCCATCAACTTTGATGATTATAACATTTCTTCTCGCAGAAGCGAAGTGCTGTCAATTCCCCCAAACCACACTTTTCCTAGCTCTGCCCCGTACTATAATTACGAATATTAATAAGAAAGATAACCTAGAACCAAGACCAACCTGCTACAACCGATACTACTTTTGTCCTATAAACCTCCTGACTTTGAGGAGAGGATGGCGCTATACGTAACATATTGGGCTGTCTAGAGGAGATTTTTACAAAGTAGGAAGCCTGGAAGGTAATATACCTTATATATTGTGTCAGATTACGGATACCTTAGTTATTATTTGAGATGCTCACGTATAAATGTTTTCCCTCTATATTTTTTAAGCTTGAATTGATGATGTTGCGATGTTGTTTACGGTGGTGCACTTTCATGAATGTGCTGACGACCCAAATCTCCTCTGGCACAACAACTTCCTGCAGCCGTCTTGTACCCGGTGTTTTACCGGACCAAAACCTCTGGAACAAAGTTTATCCAGGGGTAAGACAACTTCGCTGTTTTCCATCGCGGGGTCCGAGGGTCTGTCGCCACGCCACAGCTGTGTTTGTCCCAGATGGTCAAATTGCCCCCACAAAATAATTCTTTATAAAAAGAAAACCGAAACTGACTGCTCGTCGGGCCTTCCCTCGCTGCCTCAGCGGGTACCTGGATCGCCGATTCAGGAAGATGAGTACCTCGATGGATAACCAGGGCTTGCTGAAACGCCGGGACCCGTAATTTTCGCGTGTTAATTGTGGGGGGATGTGGCATGATGCGACCGCGGCCGAATCAGGAAGGGGCGCGGGCCGCCAGTTCTGCCAGTATTGCCAGTACACGGCAGGCGAGGAAACACGCATTGAATGTCAAGTGCCAGCGTATGTACACTACAGGCAGCAGTAACGGGTAAATAATACCAGTACCCCGCCTTGCCATTTTTTCTTTCAAACCCAACATTCCCATTCCCCTCACTTCATCGCACGAACACGACTTCAGTACAGTTCAGCAACGACCTTTCGCCCACCATGTCAGGAGCCAAAGTTTACGTCGGGTATGATTTGCGATAGACTAATCGAACATCAATCGCCGATTTATTTGCTGAACCCAAAACTAGAAACCTCTCGTGGAATACCACCGATGATAGCCTCAGGAGTGCCTTCTCAAACTTTGGCGAGGTCGTCGACTCGGTGCGTTGAACTTGCTCCGCCGATTTCCACCGATCCCCATCCACCGACCATCGGACGGATACTGATACCGAGCAGATAGTCATGAAAGACCGAGAGACTGGTCGGAGCCGCGGATTCGGATTCGTCACCTTCAGCAGCACAGATGAAGCCAATGCAGCGATCGAGGGCCTGAATGAGCAGGAGTAAGTCTCCTCCATCCCCATTACAACACACCGGCTTGGTCAACCGTGGCTGACCATGGGGTGTGATGGTTTAGCCTGGACGGAAGAAATATCCGAGTCAACATGGCCAATGCCCGTCCCAGTGGTGGTGGCCGCGGCTTTGGCGGTGGCGGTGGCGGCGGCTATAGCGGCGGCGGCTACAACAACCAGGGTGGCTACAACCAAGGTGGCTACCAGCAAAGTGGTGGTGGTGGTGGTTACTAAGAAGGGTATGGAGGACAGCTACTCTAGTCTCTGAGGTCTTGGGGATGCCACGATATGAATAATGAGGGGCAGTTGCGGTGACGCTTTATCTGAGTTACTCTTCGCTAGCATCACATCTTTTTAATTGATGGCACCATTAACCTAGTCTGCGAAGCCGTGACCATATTGCTGCTGCGTGGAAATTGGAGAGCCCCCCCCCGGCTCCCTTGTGCGCATTTCCCGATCTACGTGCCGAGTTGCTTCATGGTGCCTCGCTCTCTCCTTGTTGGCTCTCGTATCTTTCCGCATTTACGGTGCCGTAGACAAAGTAAGGCAAGGGCTGGCCTTTTTAGGTAGTTTCAACTTGTGCTTCTCAGTCTGACTTCCACAAACGAGGGCGACATGTGCGTCTGTGACGGCCATGAGGCAGCCTGCATGCCTTATGGAGTTGGCCTTGTCCCTATTTGCAAAGCGGGTATTTTGGGCGATGATCAAGTCTTCCCGTGGCAGAGGAGCGGCGGAGAAATTCGACCCGGAGGGCACCAACTTTATTTTCAAAATGAAACCAGCCGCTGTCCAGAAATAAATCTTAACCTTATTGACTTTTATACATGCATCTAAGAGTCGCCCATCGCTGCCTTTGCCCTCCATCAACACTCGCTTTTTACCACCAACATGAAAATAAACAAGGGGCTGCCGAGATGGTTAAGGCGTTCCGCACCAATCAAGCCCAGTTCTAGAAAGGTTATGCAGCGGTAGGGTATGTGTACCTACACAAGATCAACGCTGGCCCACGGACTTCGGCTCTCTTCTGTGGCGGACATAAGCAACCATGGAATTACGGCGTGATCCTGATCATGCACCCTGGCCGGGAGAACCAACGCGATACCCTTGCCCATCTGGTAGGGCACACCATTTATTCTCGTATTGGTAGATGAATTGATTTGATGACGGTACTATAACTCTAGGTACCTTAACGTTTCGTAGCCTCCATATCACATTATCCTCAGCGACCTGAACTTGCTATGCCGCCTAGTTCCCTGCGGTGAACACTTAAGCCTCCAGCTGCTCCGCGTCACGAGGCCCGGCCGGCGCTGCCGGTCACTGCCCCTGCAGCTCCAGGAAGCGCGTCACGATCCCCCCTGTAGCCAGGATTTTCAGAGCATCGAGCTTCTGACCAAACAACTCATACGACTCGCACGAGAGCCTGAACAGCTCCCCATACCACTCGGCCCTCGCGGCCGCGCTGTTCCAGAACACAACCCCCGTGAAGACCTGACAGCCCGAGTTCTCGTCTGGCTCAGGCTGCCAGCCCCCTGTATCGTCGACTATGCACGCGACCGGAATTCCTGCTACTACCGAAGGCTC